GAATATTCAATACTAATATATAGCTCAAAGCTAATAACTAGAATAGTGAAGTACAATTATTCGAGCATGTCCTTCAAACTTTTCTTGAGGAAGGGGCTTCGTGAAAGGGTTCGCCAAATTTTGATCAATGTGAACTTTGCGAATACTGATTTCACCATCTTAAACTATATACCGAATGAAGTTGAATCTCCGACTAATATGCATGGTCTTCTTGTTTGATCTGGGTTATTTTGCCAAAGCAATGACACCCTCATTGTCAAATAAGATTTCTAGGGGATCCTGAATGGAAGGAACCACACCCATATCTCAAATGAATTTTTTCATCCAAGCAGCCTCATGTAAAGCTTCTGAAGCAGCGATGTATTCTGACTCTAAAGTGGATTGTGCAACAACACTCTGTTTGGAGCTTTTCCAAGACACTGCATCCCCATTGACAATGAACACATATCCTGATTGCAACTTGCAATCATATTGATCTATTGTGAAGGAAGCAACAATGTAGCACTTTACACTTAAGATTTCTTCCACACATCCATAGACGAGGAACATATCCTTAGTTATACGCAAGTACTTAAGGATGTTATTCACATCTATCCAATGACTCTCCCATGGATGTTGTTGGTACTTTCTTGGCATGCTCATAGCATAAGCAAGATCAGGTGTAGTACAATTCATGCAATACATGGTGGATCCAACTGCCGAAGCATATGAAATATCTTTCATCTTGTCCAGCTCATACTTTGTGTTAGGACATTGGGATGAACTTCGTACTGTGTCATTCGTCATGGGTACAAATCCTCTCTTATAGTTTTCCACATTGAACCGTTTCAGGACTTTGTCAATGTATGTACTTTGGCTTAAACCTATTGATCGTTTTGATCTATCTCTATAGATTTTGATTCCAAGAATATATTGAGCCTCCCTTAGATCCTTCATTGAGAAGCACTTTCCTAACCAAGCCTTTACACCTCTTAAAGTCGGAATGTGATTTCTAATGGTAATTATGTCATCCAAATATAGGACCAAGAAGGCCACCGATCTCCCACTAGTTTTTCTATAAACATAAGATTCATGTTTGTTTCTAACAAAACCGTACTTTTTGATTTCATCATCAAAACGATGATTCCAATTTCGATATGCTTCTTAAACTCGTAAATTCATCTCTTCAGCTTACACACTTTATTAGGATGCTTTTGGTCGACAAAACCTTTGGGTTGAACCATATAGACATCTTCTTCCAAGTATCCATTTAGGAAAGCAGTTTTTACATCCATTTGCCATATCTCATAGTCATAATATGTAGCTATGGAAAGTAGTATCCGAAAATATTTAATCATAGCAACTGTTGAAAAGGTTTCATCATAATCAACCCCTTGGGTTTGAGTGATTCTTTTAGCAACAAGTTTTGCTTTGAATGTGTGTAAATTGCCATCCATGACAGTCTTCTTCTTGAAGACCCACTTACTCCCTACAGTCTTACATTGGGGAGGGAGTTCAACCAAATCCCAAACTTGGTTTTCTCTCATGGATTGCATCTCTGCGTTCATGGCTTCAAGTCATTTGTCAGATTCAGGATATGTCGTTGCATTTCGGTAGGTGACGGGCTCATCAGCATTCATCATCATGAAGCATTCATCAATGAGAAATCTATATCTCTCATGTTCTTGACAAATTCTAACAAATATGCGAACGCCTTGTGTTTCAACGGGTTGAAGAGTAATGATCTCTTCATCTTCAATAACCTCTTGTTCAGTATTAGTGACAACTTGAGTTGCATCAGGCTGTGGTTCTTGATCTTCTTCAAGTTCCACGCGCCTCCTACTTGCTTAATCCATTAGAAACTTTCTTTCCAATAATTTCGCTTTTTGTGAAATAAAGATCGTATTCTCACTATGGATATAGATTTAATATCCTAAACAATCTTTAGGATATCCTATAAAGATGCACTTGGTGGACCTAGGCTCGAGTTTGTTTGAAGCCTCATGTCTAACATAGGCTTCACAACCCCAAACTTTCATATAATACAAGGATGGAGCTTTTCCATACCATATCTCATAAGGTGTCGTTTCAATTTTCTTAGTTGGTTCCATATTCAAGATACGGGCTGCGGTCAGTAAGACATAATTCCAAAAGGATAAAGGAAGAGTACTCATGCTCATCATGGATCGAACCATATTAAGTAAAGTTCGATTTATCCTCACTAATAAGCTGTTGTGGTTTGGGTGGAGTAAGTTGTGAGATAATCCCACAACTCCTGAGATGATCTTGGAGCTCTTGGCTCAAGTACTCGCCACCTCTATCCGAAACGAAGGATTTTGATTGCTTTGTCGAGTTTATTCTCAACTTCACTTTGAAACAATTTAAACTTTTCAAATGCTTCATGTTTATATTTCATCAAATACACATAACCAAAACGACTGAAGTCGTTAGTGAAGGTGATGTAATATCTCTCACCATATATAAACATTGTTTTGAAAGGACCATATACATCGGTATGTATGATGCCTAATAAAACACTTGCCCTTTTACTAGTTCCATAGAAAGGGGACTTTTTCATCTTTCCACATAAGCAAGACTCACATATGCCAAATGACTTAGTGTCATTTTCCCCCAAAAGTCCACTCTTTTGGAGTTTTGATATGCGCTTCTTGTTTATGTGTCCAAGGCGACAATGTCATATATATGTTTGGTTCAAACCTTGTTTGATCCTTTTGGTGTTAACATGATAAAGGGACTTATCATTTGAAGTGTCATCTAGATTCAATTCATAAATTCCATTTATTGGTCTAGCCTCAAAATAGAATATTCTATTCAAGAAGGAATGGATATTATCATCAACAAATTTGAAGTCATAACCTGATTTCCTTAGACGTGAAGTTGAACTAATGTTTCTAGTGATAGAAGTAATCAAACACACAATGTTTGATGTTAAGTACATACCATATGGTAAGCATAAATCAAAATATCCTAACGCTTGTACTGCATCACGTTCTCCATTGCCAACGTGCAAAACCATCTCATCTGTCTTTAGTGCCCTACTCTTTCGAAACCCCTACAAAAAATTACATATATGAGTTCTACAACCAGTATCAGATACCCAAGTATTTGACGAAAAAGTAAATAATCACATTTCAATCATGAAAATGGATATACCTGAAGTGCCCTCCCCGGCCTTCTTGTTCTTCAACTCAGTAAGGTACTTAGGACAATTCCTTTTCCAATTCCCCACAACACCACACTCAAAGCATATGTCATCTTTAGCAACCTTTTCCTTCTTCTTGGGTGGTAGGTTTTAGGGAGCTTTCTTCCCCTTGCCCTTGCCAGCTTGTGGTTTCCCTTTGGAATTCTTGCCTTGTTTCTTCTTTTTGACTTGTCCCTCCCGGATCATGAGCACTTGGGGGGTTTTCCTTGGGATGTTTTTATCTGCAGTTTTAAGCATCCCATGCAACTCAAAGATATGTTTAACCCACCCGTTCCTGTTATAGTTCATGATGAAAGTATCATAGCACTTGGGAAATGAATTTAGAATTATGTGTGTGGCCAAGTCCAATGGATATGGAGAGCCCAATATCTCCAATTGATCTATATGTCTTTTCATCTTGAGAACATGAGTGCTCACATTCCCAGTTTCCTCCATCTTGCAGGCATGCAGGGCTCGAACAGTTTCAAAACTTTCAGTCCTAGCTTGTTGACAAAACATCTGCTTGAGATGTTCAATCATGTCAAAGGAAGTGAAGAGTTCCAAATCCCGCTGAAGATCAGGTGAATCGTCCACATGCTTAAGCCAAGCATCATGTGCAACCTTTGGGACAAAAGGTGGTTCTTCTGGGACTTGTGATTCAAGGACATAGTCTTTCTTTTCTTGCTTTAAAATAATTCTCAAATTTCTGTGCCAATCCAAAAAGGAGTGGCCCAATTTTTCTTTGTAAAGCATTAATCAAATGTTCATTGGGTGGTGGTGTGTTACATTAGTTGGTGGAGTCATCTATAAAATTTTAACAAAGTCTTATTTAGTATTTAATTCTTTAAAAATAATACCATTTTATTTCCAAAAACATTATTTATTTAAAGTCTAGGATCCAAGCAACAAATTAAATAAATGGTCAGGTGACCTTTATCCCACTTACTCAATTTTAACAATGTAAATAGCTTTTATTAATTACTACACTTGTAATTCCTAGATGTATGAGACCCTTAAAATTCCATTTGTTAATTTGACATGTTTGGTCTCATCTATGGCTTGGAACACTCTTGCTTAGGTGACCTTTATCACAAGAGGTTTCCAATCAAGTCATCCAAGTAGATAAACTTGTATAATTGTCCTATAACTTGGTTATAGAAATTGAAAAAAAATACCTTGGCCACCAAAAGATAACACAAATGGTTAGGTATCCTTTATCCCACAAGCATTATACAAATGGTGTGCAAATGTTTCTAAAGTTTGATGACATAGACTTGCCTTTTGAAAAGAGATTTGTATGTTTTTATTATTCTATTTTAAAACATGTGATATCATGATATATGCATACATCCAATTAATCATAGTATAAGTTTTCCAAAAAATCTCTTTTAATGTTCAAATATAAAACCTGATTTTTTATATTTTTAACACGGTTTAATTTTAACGATAATATCCAATATTAAGTTTGAGTTTGAGCCATATAGAACCTCATTATATTACTTAATAAAACTTCATTTTATTATTAATACTAGATGAGGAGCCCCACTTTGCGGGGATGGACTTAGACAGGTCCGATCATTTTGGCCACTTCGTGCTTATTATCGATAGAAAGGATTACATAGTAATTTGGTCTGTCCAATATAGATATTCTTGCATGGACAATTTGTTTGCGGAACGTGATGGTTTCATTATGAATTTTGTACAAAATTTCTGGTCTCCCTAACATGCAGTTTCTCCACAGAAGACAGAAGACGATTTACAATTGTATTCCATTTCCTGAAGATCATGTATATGCTACAGACATACTGTACAAAAATGAGTAAATTCTCACACAATAACTGGAGACTTGTTTACAACATTGGAGTTAAAGCTGTTTTCTTATTAATGCATTGTAGTTTGAAGAAATTCCCTTGTCATTCTCTTCTGGTATAGGATGTGCAGAAGACACTATTCTTATGCGAGACGCAGACGTAGCCACCCCAACACCACACATGTCTTATATCTGAAACTTCACACAACCAACTTACGATAAATACGTTAACAAATAAGAATATTTATTACGCTGAGTGTCACGTCATAATAATGTTATGTTGTTACAAAATTCTTACCTGAGTTGGTGACTGTTTGGGTCTCCAACAACTTTCCCAGAAGATATACAATCTTTCCATGACAGATTTTCAACAGAGAGATGGTCAAGATTCATATCTGCAGGCACCATAAACAAATCTATTAGAAATCAGAACTGACCAAACGAATGAATTTCATGGACTTGTAGTCATTCTAGTCAACTGGGTCCTCTGCCATTTTTCCCTCTCTGATTCCCAAATGTTCTTTCTAAAAATAGAAGATTTGGTGATTAATTTATTAAAAGGAGTTATTATGATCATAGAAAATGTTTATGTGCTTCGTCCGTAAATATAAATATAGAAAAATGTATCGACATTAGAAAATCTTTGAGCATACGATCTACAACTGTTGGTGGAGGGGTTACTGTATATGACCTCAATTTGTCAACACCTGATGTTATTTATAACTGAAAAATGAACAGAAAAGCTTTCATGAAAAAAATTTTGGTTAAAATTAAATGCAAAGTTTTTTGGTAAACAGTTCTGTGAACTGCCCCTACATACTGTTTTTATAGTTATAAATTTTTGATTCTAACATTTTTGGACCAAACTGCCCCCTACATATTGTTTCTATAGTTAAAAATTTTGATTTTGAGATTTTTGGACCAAACTACCCCTGCATACTGTTTTTAAACTTAAAAGAAAATGATTTTAACAGTTTTGGACCAAACTGCCCGTGCATACTATTTTTATAGTTAAAAATTTTGTTTTTTGACAGTTTTGGACCAGGACGTACCCCCACTTTGCGGGGTCGGATTTCAATTCATCCTTTTGCACACGGAGTTTACGGTAGATATCTTACTGAAACTTCTTGTATAGGATGTGCAGAAGATACTATTCTTTTGCACACGGATACTCAGTGAAACTTCTTGTAATTGCAACATTCGATAACACATACTTCATTAATATATTTGCCAATGCAGAATAAGCCACAAATTCTCCTGTTACAAAAGAAATGCATAGTTATATAAAAAAGATGCAAAAGAAAGAAAACTAAAGAAATGGTATTGAAGTTTATATATTTTTGTATTCGTAGATAACAGATAGTATTCTAACATGAATGAATGCTTAAAGTGTTTTGATATACTTTTATAATAAAGTAAACTATTTTATTTGTTATATGTATAAATATTTAATCTGTTATATGTATATATGTAGGAGATAAGTAAAGCCACCGCCAACAATCTGACAAATGACAATGCCATCCAAAAAAGTGTTTATTTTACATTTTGTTTGTAGGAAGGCTCATTCACAAAGGTGTTCATTTCATTTGGCTTTCAAATTGACATGAAGATGGGTTTATTAGAAAGAAAATTTTATTTCTTTTATTTATCTGAAAAGGAATGCTATAAGTTAGATATTCTGGTGTTAGAAGCATAACACACTTACTATATTTGTAAAAAAGTTGGAATTTTGAAAAAAAAAATAATAATTGGTGTTGAATACTTGAATGGCATTGCCGCATCGACACTAAAAGTTATATATTCTAGACTTCTAGTCAGCTTACTTTTTATTCATAGACAAAAATAAAATAAAAAGTTACCTAGTATGCTCCCTACTACCTTTATCAGGATGCTAGAAGACCAATGAATCTCAAAAAATTCAGCAAAGATAATACTTATTCAATTAATTGATGATCCGAATATTGACATTTACCTGTAAGATAGTACTTCCCATGGGTAGACCCGACTCTAGTTTCTCTGTCACAGATATCAAGCTTCACTGGAATTTGTCATGGCTGCTGTGGTTGAATTTGGTATTAATAAGTAATACGTATATGGTCAATGAAAATTTAGGAGTTGTAAACCATGAATCAAAACGAATTAAGGACCAGAAATTAGGAATTCATCTCAAACAATGTGACAGATCGAGTAAATGATGGACACTTTTCATGAAGAGTGCCTAATGACGCAAACATATAGACTTCTGTAGATCAACAAATTATTGCAGTTTATATAATTTTGATTCACGGAAGAATACCTGGCAGGTCGAGATCGTAGTTCTTTGGCCTTGAGCTATAGCTGTTGGATATAGTATGGAAAGAAGTGTTAAGAGTCTATAGAAAGTGATATTGGAGACTGGGAAATCAAAAACACACACACATACGAAATCACAGTAACAGCAAAAAAGAAGCACATGCAATTAACAAAAAAAAAAAAAACAAATTGGAAACAACGTACCTAATTGAATGTTGATTTGTCCCTCTTTCTTCTCTTCAAATAAAAATGAAATAAAAACTCCAAATCAATACCATTATTGTTCAAAGATCCCAATTCTGGAGTTTTGGAGAAACAACTGCACGAATTAGATCCCTCAATCGAAAAATCCGTCGGTGTTCTTGCAAGAGTCATTGTTTTCTTCTCCATCGGACTGTCGCAATAAGGGGAAAGTGGAAGGAGTCGGTGGCACCTCCGTCATCCGGAAAGTAAAACCCTAGATACAATCGACCACAACTGTTGACGGAGCGGTGGAAGACACAGGAGAAATATGGACATGCAATTGAAGAACATAGCAGTAGAAGGAGCAAAATCTGTCGTTGGGGTGCTTTTAGGGCTTCTGGGCGCCGACGATTCTAAAACTCAATTTCTAGGGTAGGAAACAAAAGAAGTGGAGGAAAAAAACCAAAGTAGCTGGTGGATTGCAGCTTCGTGCGTAAAGAAGATTGGAAGAAGGGGGCGGCGACCCCAAATCGACATCGTCAAACGAAAACAGAAACAAAGTTGAAGAAAAACGAACCTGTAACTGTAGGGTGCAAAGGTGACCGGTCGAAGGCTTCGCATGGGACTCGACGACATACGCCGGAGAGCGGGGGAGGATTCTCTTACCCGGGTACCTCTTGAAAAGCCCTAAAAAATAACATGTATCAATCGGACACGATTGAGGGGTCACCTAGGTTATGGTGGTGGGCGTGTGACGGTGAGTAAGAGAAGAGACATGGCAGGCTGATGGTGGTGGTGAAGATGCTAAGCACAGATGTGGAGGAGGTCGTCTGGTGGTCTGGTACCAACCGATGTCTTTGTGAGTATTTCGATGAGAAGAAAGGGGAGCAGAACACGTACCACTAATTGGAATCTGATTGAATCAGAAATCGGTGAAGAAATGCAGAACAACACATGTCAAACATAAGACAATCACGTGGACATAAACTATTTACAAAACGCCAAATACTGCCCACAATACAAACCAAGCGAAAACATGAGAAACGGGTATAAAAGAAGGACCATTCTTGCCAAAAACAGTTGGAGTTCACTATTCCTAAGAAGTGTCCATCTTTAATATGCATAGCATAATTTTTGTAACATCCGGATTCCCAGGTATGTCATTTTAAGTATTTATTTTTTGAGGATCATTGACCTACTCGACGAGTTGGCGCTATAACTCGCCGAGTAGAGTCGGGATGGCCACGTAGGTTTAATGATCTACTCGACGAGTCCGGATGTAGACTCGCCGAGTAGGCGCTGTGAGTTAAAACCCTAAATCTTTGGGTCTGAGACCTATTTAAAGGTCCTTATGGCCTTCATTTGCGGCCACACATACCCTTGAGAGACACCATTCGAACCAGAGAGCATAGAGAGAGAGAGGGAGCTAATTTCTTCACCTTAGAGCTTTCTTGATAGGAATAAGGAGGGGATTCAAGCTAGGCTGACTTGAGGGGCTCAAATCTTCTACCATTTCGTTCAAAGTTGCTGCTTAAGGTATGAATCCCTGCCCATTTTCGTATGAATGGTAGATCTCATGAATCTAGGGTTCTTTTTCCCCTTTTTAGTTGAGTTATGGAGTATGTGGAGGCCCTTTGAGGCATAGGCATCAGATCTGTGCCTTAAGAGGTCCAGAGAGTCCCAATCATCCAGCTTTATGCCGTCCCATAAGAGTTTTGAGCCTAAGTTATCATTATAAGGGTTATTTTGTCAAATAGAGCTTGATGTGTGGTGCATAGACATAAAGGTTGAACCTTTACGTGACTTTTGGGTGCTAGAAGGCCAGATCTATAAGTTAGAGAAACAGATCTGACCTCAGAAGGTCAAATGACTATTGCCATGGAGGAAGCTCGCCGAGTCCATGAGAGGACTCGACGAGTCGGATCGGGTTGCCCCGCGATTCGTGACCAGTGGTAACCCGTCGAGTTGGGAGGTTAACTCGACGAGCCGAGTGAGGCCTTAGAAGGATTCAGAGGATACACATGAACTCGCCGAGTCACACGAGTGCACTCGGCGAGTCTGGTCAAATTGGACCGTTGACTGGAGTTGACTTCAGTTGACTTTAGGGTTTGGTCAAACTGATTAAGAGGGGTCAGGGAGGGGTAGAATGGTCTTCTACCCATTCTCTAGAGATGAGAATGTAAAGAGAGTATTGATTAGAATTATTATCATTGTGCTAGGCGGAGGCTAGATCGAGGATATCGAGCACGAGAGTTTACTAAACATCTTACGAGGTGAGTCTTCTCACTATACATTACCTAGAGTGGTATCTATGTGCAGACCGGAGGGTCTTATGTGTTATGTGTTTACTTGAGATTATGTACATTGTGATTTATGTATGCTATGTGCTAACCAGACCGGACCGGAGGGTCCAACGATTTAGACCGGACCAGAGGGTCCAACGAGCTAGACCGGACCGGAGGGTCCAACGAGCTACGAGACTGAAGGGCCCCGCTGAGATACATTGACTAGAGGGTCTTACCGAGTTATAGCCTCGAGCGGCTTATGTGCTGAATGTGGTATTTTGGGGAACTCACTAAGCATTTATGCTTACTGTGTTATGTGATATGTGTTTCAGGTACTACCGAGGATCGCGGGAAGGCGCCAGCATAATTTGTACACACTGGCAGAGGATTATGTTTTTGAGATTCTGGGATATGTTTTATTGTGATGACATTTGATACATATGAGATTTTGAGAATATTATATGAGTTTTATTGTGTTCGAAAAATGAAAAATTGTTTTAAAATTTACGTCGTTACAATTTTGGAGTTTGAATAAGTTATAAAATCATCATTTTAGACTTATAATTTTACAATTTCAAAATTTGTCGTTATTAACGATTTAATAAAACTGGTTTTATTTTAAAGTTATAACTTGCATCATCTTATGTTCTCATTTTGCAAATTAAAAAACAAACTCCATGTTATGTTTATTTTGACCAAAAAATAGTTTGAGTTTGTGAAAATCTAATTTATCAACTACACAAATTATTTTGCATAAAAATAAACAACACAAGTATGTATTTGACATAAACAAGCCTTAAACTATATAAAACGTTTGTGAGCTAACACAAAAATGTTAAGTCCTTCCTAAGGGACAAAAGGGACCATATATTACAACTTGTTCTTCATGTGATCTTCAAGCTCCCACATGCAATGACAACCGACTTTGTTGCAATTTTATAAAAACTTTATAAAAGTTATGAAATTTTATAAATCTTTATAAAACTGTAGCCTCCCCTTGATATCTTCAAAAATGGACTCCATCTTCATCTTGTTACATTTTTCATAAAACAAAACTAGTCTAAAACCATTTTTTTATTACATACTTTATGAATAAAAGAATATTACAAACCATTTTTTAAACCAAATAACAACATAAATGGTCCAAGTCTTGTTTATGCACTCTAAAATACATATAAACATAAAAAAAATAAAAAATAAAAACTTTGTTTTTCTCAGACAAATTTAAGTGAACTTGTTTTTATACAAAACCAAATTATCCATATTCTCCAAAAACTAAGATTTCCAACAATCATAAAATCTAACCAAACTTGCAAGGTGGCCATGATACCAATTGTTGGTTTTTAGTTCAAAAATAGTTTGAAAATTTCATGAAAATGGAAAACGGAGGTCTTAAATTTTTGAACTTAATAAGCTTGTTACAACCCACCAAGGATCGTCTTGCAAGTAACGGAAAGATAAAAGCACAATCATAGAAGGAGGAAGATGATAACAAGATTTGATGATCTTTGCGTCCTCTAAGGGAGGCTTGGAAGTTGATGGATGTGGATGAACCTTTGAGACACCAACAAGTTGTCAACTTGATAGAAAATGCTAGTCTTGTAAGTAAAACTCTTAAGCTTTGAACCAAATCCAAAGATCTGATCTGCTAAAGTTTGATTTAGTTAATGCATGAAAATCCCCAACTTTATGGTTGGTTACGACGTGAAAGAGGAAGCCTCACGACGTGACACCGAGCTGCGACGCGTGTCCATCTTTATGGCTCAGGACGTGACGCATAGGCTGTCACGACGTGAGAACGGATTTGCCTTAATCCCATATTTTTTGTCTTATTTAAAGGAAGTGAGGGGCTAGGCTTTGCACACCCTTAGCGTCCATAACCTTCCTCCTGTGATAATTGAAGATAGCTTCCCTTGTCACCTTTAAGAGCATATTTAGCGAATTTTGATTTCTTGAAGAAGAAGAAGACTCCTTGGGTGCATCCTTTTGGCAAAAAGCTCCTTCCTCATCATCTTGCATTGCTTTTGGACCTTTGTAAGTCCTAAAGCTCTTGCTTTTATCTCTTATGCATGCTAGATCTAATATTTATGCTTTTCTTTTCATGGTTGGGTTGGGTAGCATGCATGGGATCCATAAAGTTAGCAACTATATGGATCAGTGAGACCTTTTCTTTAGTATAAGTTTCAGATATGAGGTTTGGTGTTGGTTAGACTCCAAGCATGAGTCTTGGCCTCATTTTCTCCTTATTGACCTAAGTTAATGTTCAAGTCATGCATTGGACATGCATGACTGAAAAGCTACGATTTTTATGGTCCTTAGGGTTGGGGAAAACCCTCTAGAAAGTATCGAGAAATATCTTAAAGGATTAAGAGTTTAATGCTCAAAGTTGTCTAGAACGGATCTCGCGACGTGCGGAATGGCATGTTACATTGTGAGAGGAGAGTGTTCACGATAATTTTTTCCGGGTTCATTCATGACGTAACATTAGCTAAAGTTGACCATGGTTGACTTTTTGGGTCAAGATATGGTTTTAAGGGTATAGGCTGAAAATATATGTCTTTACTGCTATTAGGTGTCTTGTTGCTCCTGTCTACCCTGTGTGTGAGAGTTTTTGTAGTTCTAGCTGTTATTCGCGAGTTGAGTCTTCTAACTATATTACTTGCGTAGTAGTGTATGCATTTTGACCAGCTGGGTCTTACTTGTTGATTGATTTTATTTGTGAAACTGTCTTGTTGATATCTCTTAGACAGTTATGAGTCCAGGGGACTGTTGATAATCCCCAGGGTTGCTGATAACCCCTGAAATGTGATGTTAATCAATATGGTTGATGATAACCCATAGCTGTTTATTTTGCTGAGTTGTATGCAATATCTTGGGAAGTCACTAAGCTTCGTGCTTACAGTTGTGGACTAAATATGGTTCAGGTACTTCAGATGATCGCAGAAAGGCGAAGGATTAACTGTACACTCCGGCTTGCAGATATTATGATTTTCTGCATTTTGATACTCTGATTTGGGATGACTGTATTTGATCCACGTGGGATTTTTATGACTTGGTGTTTATAATATTTGGTGTTTTCCCTATTTTAAAAATGAAAATTTTTGTGGTAAAAACCATTATGTCACAGAGAACACAAGGATGCAAGTAACTTGAACTCTAATATTCTAAACAAGAGAGGATGAGAGAGAGCACGAAGGTCACGGTTTTTCTATCAAAAAATGAAGGGATGAAAGCATTCATAAAGCTAAATTATTACCCAAGATTTCTTAGCACTTTAAGCACACCATACCCTAAAGCATACATGTCTCTCATGCCTTTTAAGTCATGCTTACTTTCCTTTATAATATTCAAAAGACCATGTCTTGTTTCCTAGAAATTAGCTCAACTTTTTTTTTTCTATAAAAGAGAAGAAAAGTTTATAAAATTCTTATAAATCTTTATAAGATATAAACTTTAACTTTTAGAAGAAAGACAAAAGAGTCTTTCTAATCCAAAATAATGTATATGACTTATTAATTCATACCATATGAAATAATATGTTACTTGTTATTGTAAAATAATTAATTCCATGAAATAAATATTTTCCCAATTTATTAAAAGAATTTATGAATATTTATTAAAATCAATTTCTAATAAATAATTAATTATATCAAGTTGTTTTTAGTATGACCATTAGGATCATATTTTAATTAGCAATATCATTTTAATATGACTCTTAAGCATACAAGATCTTTCAAAGCTCATATCTGCCATAATGGGTCGGTGCTCCTGCATAAGACA